TAATTCTTGAATTATTTTCTGTAATTTTCTCTGGTCTTGGGAAATCTGAGCAACCTCTGGCTGTGCATATTACATTCTAACGGGGAGGGAGAACAGACAAAAAACAAATATGTATATAATAGGTGGTGACTGCTCTGAAGAAAAATAAAGCAAGGTAAGGGATCTAGAAAGTAACTGGTGATAGTATTTTAAATAGGGTGGGAAAAGGACCTCACTGGTAAGGTGGTCCTTGAGCAGGGTCTGAACAGAATTTATGCAGATATCTGTGGGAAGGGTCTGCCAGGCAGAAATAACAGCAAATGGGCCTGTAGATGGGACAGTGCTGTAAGTGTTCACAGGTCTGTGTGGTTTGAATAAAATGAGAGAGAAAGTAATAGGAGCTGAGGCCATGGGATAGCAGGGGACTGGATCATCTAGACATCATTATAGGATTTTTATTCTGAGTGGGATGGGAAGCCAGTAGCTGTAGAAAGGCAGTATGGCATGGTGACTAAGAGATGATGATGGCTTGGGCTAGGATAGTAACTCTGGAATTGGTGAGAAGGAGCTGGAGTCTAGATATAATTTGAAGATGTTATTGACAGGATATGTTAGTTGATTGTACGAAAAAAGGATACATTGAGGATGACTTCAAGGTTTCATCTTGTTTGGGAGAATGGAGTTGCCTTTTACTGAGATATGGAAAATTCAGGAGCAGTAGGTACATAAGGCAGAAATGAGTTCTAGTGTGGAGAGTTTAAGTTGAAATGCTTACTGAATATTCATATGGAGAATTTGAGTGGGCAGTTGGATATGTAAGTTGAGACTTTGGGGGAGAGCCTGGGCTTGTTATAAATTTGGGAATTGTCATTATACAGATGGTATTTAAAGCTATGAGACGGGATGCGATTACATAAGATTGAGTGTATATAGAGAAGAGGAGAGATCTGAGGACTGAATCAGGGCCTGCTGGAGTTAAGAGGCCAAGAAGTTAGGAATCTAGATGTGGTGACCAAAAAAGAGAGTTCAGAGAGGTAAAAAGAAAATCAAGAGAATGTGGCAACTCAGAAGCCAAGTGAAGAAGGTGTTTGGAGGAGGAAATAATTCATTCTCAAATATTGTTGATAGGTATGTAAGATGAGGACTAAACATTGACTCGGCAATGTGGAGATCTTTAGTAACCCTGTGGTCAGTTTTAGTGGAGTGGTAGGGAGGAGGGCCTGTCTAGAGTAAGTTTAAAGCAGAGTGGCAGAGGAGTAAATGTAGAGAACTCTCTCAAGGAGTTTCGCTCTAAAGAGGGGCAGAGAAATGGAGCGGTAGGTGGAAAGGATTATAGAGTCTTCCCTTACTGGGTACTTGATCTCGAGCAAATTAATAAACCTCTCTGTGCCTTAGTTTCCTCACTTGTAAAGTGGAGAAAGTAGTAATAAGATTGTGTGAGGATTAAATGGTTAATATATTTCAAGCATTTAGAAGAATGCTTGTTGCTTAATGTATTAGCTATCTATTGCTATATAACCTATTACCACAGACCTAGTAGCTTAAAACAACACATGTTTATTACTTCCCAGTTGCTGTGGGCTGGGACTCCTGGCACGGCTTAGTTGGCTCTCCTGCTTCAGAGTCTCTCACAAGCTGTAGTCAAGGTGTCAGCCAGAGATGATTTCTCATCTGAAGTCTTGACTGAGGAAGCCCACATGGTTGTCAGAATTCAGTTCCTGCAGGGCTATTGGACTGAGAGTCTAAGTTCCTAGCTTAGCATGGCAGCTTGCTTCATCAAAGTATGCAAACTGAGAAAGCAATCAGAGAAGCAAGATGGAGATCACAAACTTATGTAACCTAATCAGAGATGTGACATTCTGTCACCTTTGCCATAAATCACAGTTCCTGCTCATACTTAAGGAGAAGGGGTTACACAGGCAGGTGGATAATGGGGATGACATCAGAAGGTGGAGATTGTTCAGAGCCATCTTAGTCTTCCTGCCACATTTAGTGGGCACTTTGTGCTAGCTGCTATTATTATCATTATTGTTATTATTCTGATGGGATTAAGTAGAAAAGGGGATAGAGGAGAGAAAGGGTAGAATTGAAGGAGAGGTGTCCTTAATTAGATAACAGGGAAGGAAATTAAGTGCACAAATGGAGGGATTGGCCATAGTTCATGATTGTTTTAAGGGGAAAGCAGAGTAAAAGGATCTGACTGTGACTAAGTGGCAGATTTCGAAGTTCTCTTTTGTTTGCCTTTTCTCAGTGGAAGAGTCAGGTCACAGAGGGAGGAGGAAGGAAGAGGTGTTGTAGGTTTGAGGAGTGAAGAGAACATTTGAATCATCTGGAGTGAGGGAGTGGGGAGATGTAGTTCACTTGCCAGGCATCAGGAAGGGCTTACTTGATGTTCGTAGCCATGTATTTAAAGTGAGAACAGTTATAATGATTGTGAATTTTTCTTCAGCTGCCCATGCCCAATTATGAGAAGAGGAGGAATAACACAATAAAATAAAATAATAAATAGGTAAATAATATGAAGTAGAGATTGCCTTTAATCAAGGTTAAGGTTCTGCCAGGCCAGTGTGATGGAAGGAGATGGGGAGAATGATTATAAAGGTGGACCATGAAATCTAGTTTCATTAAAGAGAGAGGTGAGGACATAGCAGATGGGGGACAGTGAGAAGATGTTAATTAGAGCCAGTGAATTGAAGGGGTAGAAGAATTATTGTAGTGGAAGTACTGAGGACAGAGCTTGGAAGTTAGGAGATGGTCATGAGAATGGTTTGTTGAGATACAGATTATGGAAGGGACATTTGATAATGAGAAGGTCCTGGGTTCTGTTGAGGGACCACACTTGGGGATCTAGAAGGCCACATGTGGCCTTGAGGCCACAGGTTCCCACCTCTGTGGGATGTCTAACAGGTAATGTTGTGGACATTTGCTGCTTTGACTAATCAGTATCTACTTATTCTGACATTGTAACAGCACCTGATTTTACTTGGGGAAACTACTGCTCCTCCTTTTCAGTCTATGTGATTTTAGTGGTGCTGACCACCCTTCCCCAAAAATGTCATTGACTCAGGCTGGCCCATGAAAATATCTCATCTCTGGATACAGTGATACAGAGAAGGGCACCTGCCCCAGTTAGTGCTGTGAGAGAGAAATTTTTTCCGGAGACTCTTGCTCTTTAGGTGCTGCTTCCTCTGGCTACATGAGGGGGAAATCTGTCAAAAAATTGAGTCAACATGGGTGAAAGAATAGACAGGAAATGATGAAAGAGTCCTGGTGACATCATTTGAGCTCTAAATCAAGCCACCTTAAAGCTACCTCTGAAAGTTTTAGTTATTAGGGTAAATAAATCCTGTTTATGTTGAAGTGGGTTTTCTGTTACCCATAATCAAAGGAGACCTAATGGGTAGATACAGTCACTGTAAGGAGTTTACCAAATCTAAGCTTATTTGGATGAAATTTTAAGATGTGGAATCTTCAAAACCTTCTTTCCATTTTATCTTTCACATGTTCTTTAGCATGTGGACTCTCACGAGAGGCAGTAAGATGTAGCGAAGAGAAAAAAGACCAACCTGGAGTTAAGTCTTGTGTCCGACACTAGCTAATTGTGTTATTTCAACCCTCTGAGCCTCAGTTTTCTCATCTGTAGAATGAGGAGAATGACAGTGATTTTTCATGGTGGTTGGAAGGATTAAGTGGAAAATGGATGTGAAATGTCTAGCATGGTACCTGACATTCTTGGCACCCTTTCTCTTTTCCCAATGTCCAGCATATTGCTGGACACATAGTAGTTGTTCAGTAAGTTTTAATGTGAAAAATGCGCACACAATTGAATAAATACTATCAAGGTGTTCTTTTGACCCTTCTATTCCTCAGTTTTTACTAAAGTATTGCAATTTATTCGACTGATAGTTAAGTGGGTGTTGTTTTTTGCACATGAAATCTTGCTAGGTAGAATTTTTCTTAACTTCTTTTCCCTGGCAACTGTCTCTGAGTCAGTTATGCATTCATTTATCATTCCAAGATTACTGTGAGAAATAATAATGGCACTTAACACTCATTGAGTACTTTCTTTTGTGTAAGCCATTATGTTTCATACTTCATATGTAGTATTTCACCTACTCCTCTTAATAGGATAACCTTAAAGGTATAATATGTACTGATTCTGGAGTCCAAACTACTTCTTAGAAGAAATGAGGTAAGGTACATAGTAAGAATTCATCATATATTATTCCCTTTCTTTTTTGAAAATTAAAAATTTTCTGATTCCATGTATCTAGTTACAGACATTATATAGTATATTGGTTAAGAACACAGACCCTGGAGCCAGACTACCTGGGTTTGAATCCTGGCACCATCTTTACTAAGGATATAACCTTGCATAAATTATATAATCCCTGGGTACCCCATGTTCATCATCTGTAAAATGGGGGTAATTGACAGTAATTCACATCTCTGTTTCATAGAGATGTGAAGATTAAATGTGTTAATCTATATAAATAAAGTTCTTACAACATTATCAGAAAAGTAGTACTATAAAAATGTTAGCTATTACATTTAATATTCCTTTTATTTTAGTAGCTCCTTCATCATAGTAGTTACAGTCTTATACATAATAAAACTTAGCATTTGAAATCATCTTAAACCCAGTGATATCTCTAAGTAATATTAACACTCTAGTGAGAGTGTAGTTCTCTTCTGAGAAGCCCTTTCTGATATCCTTCCTCTTCTCTGATCTTTTACTGGACTTATTTGGGAATATAAAATTAACACTTTATTATTGTTATGTTATTTGACCTCTGTTAGTTTTGTGTTATCAGCAAAATTGACTTAAGCTCTTTGAGAGCTAAAGACATTTCTTAGGTGTCTTAGTATCCCGTATAGTGCAGAACGTATAGTGAAAACTTGATAATTAATGATCAGCTATTAGAGGTGGAAAACAAAATACAAGCAGTGTATCATTTTATGTTTAAAAACATCTCTTAGCATCTAAGTGTTTTGCTTATTAATGTTTTACTTCCTTTTAGGTTCCTAAATATTTGTCACAGCAATGGGCTAAAGCCCCTGGAAGGGGTGAAGTTGGGAAGCTGCGGATTGCCAAGTAAGTTATTTACATATTATAGACATTGTTAAAAGCTTTTTTTTTTTTGAAATTTTTACAGATGCTTTTATTTATTTATTTTTTTTCATTTTTTTTTTATTTCGGCATATTATGGGGGTACAGATTTTAAGGTTTCAATAAATGCCCATTTCCTCCTCTCCCCCCACAAGTCTGAGTCTCCAGCATGACCATCTCACAGATGGTGCACATCTCACTCATTATATATGTATATACCCACCCCCCGACCCCCTGCCCAATACCCTATTACTGCAGTACCTGCGTGACCACTTAGTGGTGAGTATATGTGGTGCTTGTTTTTCCATTCTTGGGAAACTTCACTTAATAGTATGGGTTCAAGCTCTAACCAGGAAAATATGAGATGTGCTATATCACCATTTACAGATGCTTTTAAATGTGATTATAGTTCTTGATCAGACAGAATTTACTTGGAAATAGGAAGTAATGAACATGTAAGGCTTGTCAAGTGATGGTTAGGTGCCCTGTAAGGAGATGTGCTTGTGCACACACATGTAAATACCCACACCCCTGGTGACAGGTGGTATAATCATCAAGTTTCTTGGTATAATTTAATGGCAGTGAAGCAGCAGAGTATGTAGTGGCCCATGGACTGCCAACCCCCACCTTCCTGAGCAGGTGTGCTTGAGTTGGGTATAACTGTATGCATCAAGGAAAGTGTTTCAGTAGGATTTTGCCACTGTGCCACTGTATCTCTTTATAGGGACTTTGGAAGTTGGTAGGGAACATCTAATAAACAATGTAACAGTGTAGTTTTCTGGTTGAAAAGTGGCCTTGTTAGAAAGGAAAGCCTCTAAAGCTTACCTAGTGTCAGCCAGAGGTGATATGTTTCATTTTTTCCATCTATTTGTTCTTTTATTGATTGATTGATATATATTGTACATATTTTTGGGGTACGCATTGTATTTTTTATCCTTATATAAGTGTAATGATTGAATCGGGGTAGTTGGGATATCCATTGCCTCAAACATTTTGCTTTGTGTTGGGAACATTACAAATCATCTCTTCTCAATGTTTTGAAATATACGATAAGTTATTAACTATAATTTTCGTAGTGTACTATTGAATACTAGAGTGTATTCCTTCTATTTAACTGTAAATTTGTACCCCTTAACCAACTTGTCTTCATCCCCTCTCCTCCCATCCCTTCCCAGCCTCTGGTAACCACCATTCTACTCTCTACCTCCATGAGGTCGACTTTTTTAGCTCCCACATATGAGTGAGAACATGTGATATTTGTCTTTCTGTGCCTGGTTTATTTCACTTAATATAATGACCTCTAGTTCCATCTATGTTGCTGCAAATGACAGGATTTCGGGTTTTTTTTATGGCTGAATAATAATTCCATTGTGCATATATATCACATTTTTGTTATCCATTTGTTGATAGATATTATGTTGATTCCATATGTTGGCTATTGTGAATAGTGCTGCAATAAACATGGGAGTGCAGATATCTCTTTGATATACTGATTTCCTTTTTTTTGGATATATACCCAGCAGTGAGATTGCTGGATTATATGGTAGTTTTATTTGTAGTTTTTTGAGGAACCTGCCTACTGTTCTCCATAGCAGCTGTACTATACATTCCCACCAGCAGCGTATGAGTGTTCCCCCTTTCTCCACATCCTCGCCATCATTTGTTATTTTTTGCCTATTTTGTAATAGCCATTCTCACTAGGAAGAGATGATATTTCATTGTGGTTTTGATTTGCATTTCCCTGATGATTAGGGATATTAGTATTTTTTCATATACCTGTTGCCATTTGTGTGTCTTCTTTTGAGAAATGTCTATTCTGGTCTTTTGCCCACTTTTAAAATCAATTTTTTTTTTTACTATTAAGTTGTTTGAGTTCCTTATATATTTGTGTTATTAATCCCTTGTCAGATGGATAGTTTGCAAATATTTTCTTCATTTTGTAGATTGTCTCTTCACTTTGTTGATTGTTTCCTTTGCTGTACAGCTTTGTAGTTTGATGTAATCCATTTTGTCAGTTTTTGCTTTTGTTGCCTCTGCTTTTGAGCTCTTACCCAAAAAATCTTGCCCAGACCAATCTCCTGGTGTCTTTCCCCACTGTTTTCTTTTAGTAGTTTAAGGTCTTACATTTAAATCTTTAATCCCTTTTGAGTTGATTTTTATATATAGTGAGAGATAGGGATTCAGTTGCATTCTTGTGCATATGAATATCCAGTTTACTCAACACCATTATTAAAGAGACAGTCCTTCTCCCAATGTGTGTTCTTGATGCCTTTGTTGAAAATGAGTTGGCTGTAAGTGTGTGGATTTATTTCTGGGTTCTCTATTTTGTTCAGTTGGTCTGTTGTCTGTTTTTATGCTAGTACCATGCTGTTTCGGTTACTACAGCTTTGTAGTATAATCTGAAATCAGGTAGTGTGATTGCTATGGCTGGCTGGGCATGGTGGCTCACACCTGTAATCCTAGCACTCTGTGAAGCCGAGGTGGGAGGATCGCTCAAGGCCAGGAGTTCGAAACCATCCTGAGCAAGAGTGAGACCCATCTCTACTATAAATAGAAATAAATTAATTGGACAACTAAAAATATATAGAAAAAATTAGCCAGGCATGGTGGCACATGCTTGTACTCCCAGCTACTCAGGTGGCTGAGGCAGAAGGATTGCTTGAGCCCAGGAGTTTGAGGTTGCTGTGAGCTAGGCTGATGCCACAACACTCTACCCTGGTCAAAAAGTGAGACTCTGTCTCAAAAAAAAATTAAAAAAAGATTGCTATGGCTATTCGGAATCTTTTGTGCTTCCATACAAATTGTAGGATTGTTTTTTCTATTTTTGTGAGGAATGTCATTAGCATTTTGATAGAGATTGCATTGAATCTATAGATTGCTTTGGGTAGTATAGACATTTTAACAATATCATTCATTCTTAATCCAAATCCAACCAGATTCCCATGCCTACTACTCAATTGACACAGCTCTTGTCTACTAATAGTATTTTTTTTTTTTTATCAATTAGCTTTTGCTTTATAAAAAACCACTGTAAAACTTAGTGGCTTTGAACGAAAACCATTTTATTTGCTCATTAGTCTATGGATTGTTTCTGGTTGGGGCTGACTTGGCTGGCCTTCCTGGCTAGGATGACCTCACTTATGTCTGGTAGTTGGCTTGATAATCAGCTGGGGCAATAGCCATTTATTTCTTCTCTAGCATGCTTGTTCACATGGTGGTGAAAGAGTTACTAGTAACAAAAGAGAGGGGAAGCCCCAGTGTACCAGCACTTTACAAGTGCTGTGCTTGTGTTGAATTTGCTAGAGTCCTTCTGGCCAAAGCAACTCACATGTCCAAGCCCAGATTCAAGGGTGGGACAATACACTCCACCTCTTGATGAGAATAGCTGCAAAGAAATTGTGTTCCTGTTTTGCCACATACACATTCCCAAATCTAAGAGTCAGCTAGGAGCCCTCTAACTTGACTTTCAACAGAATTTGCCATGGTTGATCACTTCTTTCCTGAAACACTTTTTTTCACTTTACCTCTGGGACACCATTCTTTTTTCTTCTCTGACTGGCTGTTCCTTCTCTATCTCTATTGTTAGCTCCTCATCTTCTCAGTCTCTAAATGTTATATGACCCCAGGGCTCAGTCTTTAGTTCTCTTTTCTTCTCTCTCTTTTTCACTCACTTCCTAAGTGGTCTCATCTGGTCTTCTGCATTTGAATATCAGGTGGTGTTTAAATATATAGTTCCAGACACTTCAGGGCCTATCTACTTGCTCACCTTTGTCAACCTCCTGCCATTCCTGGCAGCACCATGCTCAGAAGGCCCTGATCTTTTCTGCTTTGTGTGCCCCAGCTGTAGCTTTCCTCTCGCTACTGACCAACCTACTAGACTCCACAGCTGATCTAGAGTTGACCTAGATTTAACCATTGACCTAGACTTGAACATTGACCTAGAGGCAACTACAGACCTAGAGTTGACCACAGATATGTATCATAAAGGACATGCAGGCTTCCAGATACTCTACTGACATGGAGTTAGACATTTCCAGCTTTATGGAAGAATTCACTGAGCCCACAGCTGATTCAGTACAATTCAGACAGAGAGCCATATGAATGAAGATGATGATGTGAATACTGTTTATTCCAAAGAGCCCATGATTAGAGTAACAGACCACCTCAGCACCTCCCCAGGAAGTAGTGAGTCCATCTCATTGCATGTTTATTCTATTCTATTTATTTTTTATTTACTTTTTTGAGACAAGAGTCTTACTCTGTCACCCTGGGTAGAGTGCAGCGGCATCATTGTAGCTCACTGCAATCTCAAAGTCCTGAGCTTAAGTCATCCTCCTGCCTCAGGTTCTTCAGTAGCTGGGACTACAGGTGCATGCCACTATGCCCAGCCAGTTTTTCTGTTTTTAGTAGAGATGGGGTCTTGTTCTTGCTCAGGCTGGTCTTGAACTCCTGAGCTCAAGCGATCATCCTGCCTTTTCCTCCCAGAGTGCTAGGATTACAGGTGTGAGCCACTGTACCCGGCCTTCAGTGCATGTTTAAAATCATACAAATTCTTCATTAACTGTGACTATTGCTCTGCTATGTCTACTACTTTCTAAGATTCTGAGCTTTAGAACAAGCCTGCTGCTACACTATAGGAGATTGCATAATTGTAAGAAACTAGTGAAACATAGGATGTACCCAACTGAGGAGAAACAGCAAGGCATTGATCTTGGGGTGGGGAGGTGAATTATACACAAATTGGGAAGGGGCATTTCTTAGCTGTGTCCATTTAATATGGGCTCAATAAATACTCACTTGAATTGAGTGTAAATCTCTCTCTCTCTCAAGCTTGGCCTCTCCCTGAACTCCAGATTCATAATTCTTTCTGCGTCCTTGATGTTTCCACTTGGATGTTTCAGAAGCATCTCAGACTTAATAATTGCTATTCTTCTGTTCTTTCTTTCTGGAACACTCTTCCTCCAGATATCCCCATGACTTGCTTC